TCAATTTTTCCAATTAGAACTTAGCTAAATACTCCTGGATTTGAAATCTGGAGGAAAAAATGTATATCTAGGGTTTTTTTTGATCAGAGGGACTTCTGGAATAGTCCGAAAAGTTTCCACGGATGCTGAGAAAAAATACGTTAAGCAAATCGGTGGAAAAGACTTAAGATCAATTATTTTTTCTCTAGAAATATCAGGCATCCGAAAACCTCTCGTCCATTTTGGGTGAGCATCCCAACGGAGTGCGCCAGTCTAGTACGTTGATAGCTAGGCCCTGCCCTACCCTGCAAATATACACTAAATGAGTCGTCTAAAGGTAGGCCCACATGGCATCTAGCTGGCTCCAGACAGACTCTTTTTGTAATTCTTGTTCACAATAAGTATGCAAACACTCATCATATTCTGAACGTTGATTACTGCTGTGCCTGACCAAAACAAAGTTGTTAATCTTCTACTTCCATCAATGATTTTAATTGGGCAGTCTGCGTGGTAGCGTTTAGGATTACATATTCTTGACACAAATAGATAAGACAAAACCCCTTAGTCTTAGTATTCTGTGAACAAATTGATGCAAAGGCTTTCATCGTTATTGGGACAAAAATAAAAGAACCCATTCTGTAACTCTTCAGTAACGAAAAAAAACATANGTATGATTCCTCATACATGATCATTCGCCATTCTGTACGCGTACGTTAACAATCATGCGAGCAAAAGTTATTCTGATGTACATATTTTTCTCTAATGTTGTCTGAAATTATCGTGGATTGTTTGATGTACCCATGGTCGCAACATGCTCAGGAGAACATCACTTGACACAAATCCAAATAGTTTATTTCAGCCCATTTATATGGCTCGGTCAATCAACGGAACTTTTTTCCATTCCGTCAAATTTACATGATAAACACTGCTTTTTGCTTGGAATTTCAGCATCGAACGGAACGTTTCCTGATAATTGTCAGGTGCATTCTCAAGGCACTGGAATTGTTGCAAATTGTCGTTCAGACGTACATGATTCAAGACTGCTTCCATCGATGTAGCGATAAACTTACACATCAGATAATTAAACCGGGACGTCAGTCCATTGTAGCCTTGTTGGGGATCAACCTTGCCCTTTGGATTCAGCAAAGTTTTCAGGTAAGTGTTTTCAAGGTTGACTTCTCCGAAGCATGTAATAGGCTATTTCCTCAATGGAGTTGTATCAGATTCTGTCTCCACATGTTGATCCATTTTGAATTATGATGTACTTCATATATCCAAACTATTTCAACGGGAAAGATTGCCCGAATGTTCTGACTATCACGAATACGTTTGAGCGGTTTTACTGACATTTTTGGCAAGAACTCGGCTTGTAACCAGTTTTATGGGCGATAGTGCATAAGTGTAAAATGGTCATCAAAGGTGGCCAAAATATAAGTTCACCGAAAGTTGGTTAAAATCAGTCAAAAAGCATCACAAACGTATAGNTGCACATATGACGCTACTGATGTGAAATTTCAGACAGCCGACTGGACTTGAACCAACAACAATATTTCTGTTTTGGTACTTGAAAAAACCAAGTTAGGCCTTTGAAGGCCTCTGATAAACATATACTTTTCTGGTACTTTAACATAAAAAGAACTATATGTTATCTTTGAAACAGATTTTACTTGGTGTAAATACTAGTCTTTCAACGTTTATTTGTGAAGTCAGGCAGTTTTTAGCTAGATCCATGTGGAAAGACTTTATCTAGGTGCATCTGAGAGTGACAACTCTATTGTTCTCTTAGAAAGTAAAGGGTCAATACTTTGTGTTGGCATAAATTATATCAAACTGTAAGGCAGCCAATTTTATTTTACCTGCGTGTTAGTCTGGAAAGTTAATCACAATGTGAATGTCTGGAAAGAAAAACCCTTTCCAATGCGTAAGAAAAATCAGTGCACTGCCAATAAACTAATAACTGTGGGTAGTGGTAAAACATTTTTAGAATATGTGGCAGAAGACACTGGGGGCACTCTACACATGAGCACACCAGTAGAAACAGGTTTGATTACACACATATATGCATGGGTTCCTACCAGCGCAAATAATTTCACTCCAAATCATAGTAATCTGGTGGGTCCAAGAAAACCTACCCTGAAAACTTAATAAACAGAATTGTGCAAGTCGTTTTTTACACAGATACAAGATAACTGTGTGATTTCCTGAACCATGGTATGCAATCCCCACAAGAATCCTCCCCCTATGTTGTGTTTCCGAAAAGACTGCATACATGATTATATATGTAAACAACGAAAACTTTGCTGTGCGTCCCCATACTGATTATATAGCTTACTGCCGTTCTGCGGAGTACTATATTAATGTGCGGGATTTTGACTGGTTGCCGATATCTGTCTTCGTTGTTAACAGTCATTGACACAGTGCAGGAAATGTTCTCACAAAATGGAGACAATCATATTTCCTTACCGCCAGAAATAGTCAGAAGGGTGTCAACGACTAATGTGTAAGAGACGATACCATTCATTCACAGAAATCAATAATGCTAATTATGAAATTATAAAATATATAAACACCGTGATCAACCAGCTGTTTCCTTGAGCTTCCATAGATGTTTACTGAACTGATCTTTTAAAGAACTATTTATACCTATCCAGGAATATCATATGTAAGTTGTCATTTAAAGTAAACTGCTCATCCATAACAAAGCTACGCGCACGTTTAGAAGCATTACGTCACCTGTAGGAATTCCCGTTTGCCTGCAAAACACCATTGTAAAGACTATTTTTGCTTTTCTGCCCAAAGTTTAAATACAGCCTCAGCCTGATAGCTGTGTGAACGTTGGTTGAAATGCTATTAACTCAGGTGGCGGAAACATAGAAGTGTGCGACTTCCTACTGTACACTCTGTTTTTCCGGAACTCACTGCTGGCCCAAAATTATGTTCCAGAATTTTCTAACTAAGAAACACACCTTTGTTTTGTATGATTGTGGAAAGTCATTTAACCTTATACTACCCAGTTTATATTTTTGTGGCAGATGTCTATCAACAGGTTTTCAGGATGGTAAAACCTAGATCATCAGGAGGCAGAGATCACTTTGATGGCTGGTTTGCAAGCATGTGTATGAGATGGCAGAGAGCTACAAATTGTGACCAACAAAAACGCGTACAGAAAAATAAATATAAAACCGGTATTTTGATGTATTTTATAAGGTACAGTGAACCATCACGTTTAAAACTATTATCTCCATGAATGCTTCCAAAGTCTTCATACAACTAAAGCCTTTTCATTAGACTAGGCAGAGTTGAAGATCTCAGGGGGGTCAAAAAGTAGCGGACGTAATCCCTACTAAAGTATAAATGCAATAACCACTACCTATAGTGCAGTAAACTAAACAGTTAACACGTAGAGAACACGTCTGAGCGAATTTGCGGGAATGGGTATCATAGTGTCACATCCAACTGAATATATCAATTTCAATCTGCTGCAAAACGTAGTGATCACAAGCAATAAGTAACAGCGCTATGCCATTTGTACGCCTTAGCAAACCAAAAAGTCCGCTCAAGACGTGGAAAGTATTTACCTGGCACATTGAACCAATTTCATTTTCAGTAAAGAGCTCTTAATGTGCTCATAAATAAGTAATTTTTAAAAGTCTTAAGCATCGAACAGTATTTGCCAGAGATCATGTTGACACCTATATGGAGAATATTCTGAATTTTAATTCTAGGGTAAATTACCATTCGTTCTCTGATGCCAACCTGGAGCTGTGAAAATTTTTATGCACCGAGAAATAAATAAATATATATATATATATACTTTTTCAGTTGCACACCAAATCAGTCACCATTTACTGGGTTGTGAAGTATCACAAAGGATCCAGTAGAATGAGAATATGACATTGTCAGATTGGTTAGAAATCAGGCTTCCAAACGCTCCGAGGGACGCGAAAGGGTTGTGAAAGTTTTGTCGGATTATTTATGAAATTCGCCAAAGATGTGAACATATGCTTGCCATCTGACTCAAAGGAATAACAAGGATTTACGATTGAACCCAATGAACCGTAAATAGTCATGTCATTCAGCGGGAGATTACTGGCAAACTTAGGTTCATTGTGAATTACTGCTCAATGGACTTTGGCTGCATTAGAATCCTCAACATAGACAAACGAAGAGCTTACTTCGAAGCCGTGCAGGAAATCCGTCTGAAAAGGCGAACGTGTCCTCGTTTGAGTGATTTATATGGTCTCCTCGGTCCTCTAAGTGACGACCTATAGTTGTAACGGTTAAGTTACTGAGTGAATCGTCTGTGAGTTAACGAAACGGAAGCACAACATTTGACACAAGAAGTGAAGTGACTGGTGAAGTGACGATACACTCGTCCCTGGGATGCCCCCCTAAGGATAGCTACTGCAGACGAGTTCGGTTAAAAATTAAACTCAAATCTAGTGAGCTCTTCAGTTGTTAAGCATTCACTACATTGGTTGCATTAGAACAGTATGATGTATGATTCCTCATACATGATCATTCGCCATTCTGTACGCGTACGTTAACAATCATGCGAGCAAAAGTTATTCTGATGTACATATTTTTCTCTAATGTTGTCTGAAGATAATTGTCAGGTGCATTCTCAAGGCACTGGAATTGTTGCAAATTGTCGTCCAGACGTACATGATTCAAGACTGCTTCCATCGATGTAGCGATAAACTTACACATCAGATAATTAAACCGGGACGTCAGTCCATTGTAGCCTTGTTGGGGATCAACCTTGCCCTTTGGATTCAGCAAAGTTTTCAGGTAAGTGTTTTCAAGGTTGACTTCTCCGAAGCATGTAATAGGCTATTTCCTCAATGGAGTTGTATCAGATTCTGTCTCCACATGTTGATCCATTTTGAATTATGATGTACTTCATATATCCAAACTATTTCAACGGGAAAGATTGCCCGAATGTTTTGACTATCACGAATAATTTTGGGCGGTTTTACTGACATTTTTGGCAAGAACTCGGCTGGTAAACAGTTTTATGGGTGATAGTGCATAAGTGTAAAATGGTCATCAAAGGTGGCCAAAATATAAGTTCACCGAAAGTTGGTTAAAATCAGTCAAAAAGCATCACAAACGTATAGTTATTTGGCCGGTAACATTGTTTTTTGCTGGATGGCATAGGGGTAGTTGGGTGAGCCAGTGGTGCCAATTGTGCAGCTTTTATGAACCATGTTTTTCAGAAACTTATACAGCATATCCATAGAGATGTAGGCTGCTGATTTCTGGCCCCATCACACCGGCATTCGGTAAATGTGCTCATTTCCATGTAAATTTTCATTATCTGTAAGCACTACTGGCAAACATTTTCTTATGAACGTATAGTTATTTGACCCGTAACATTGTTTTTTGCTGGATGACATAGGAGTAGTTGGGTGAGCCAGTAGTGCCAATTGCGCAGCTTTTATGAACCATGTTTTTTCAGAAACATATACAGCATATCCATAGAGATGTAGACTGCTGATTTCTGGCCCCATCACACCGGCATTCGGTAAATGTGCTCATTTCCATGTAAATTTTCAATATCTGTAAGCACTACTGGCAAACATTTTCTTATGGTAAAGGTGTCCCTACCTGAACGCAGACCACCGAAATCAACAAACGTCTTTTCGCGCATAGGGATAAGAAAATATGCGAACAAAATATGCTTCGTCGTAGCGCGAAGACTTGTTCACCCAAGACAGAGCTGACAGGTGAACAATGAACACTGGTTGTCTGGTACCTTAGAAATACTTGGCTTTATTCGTTTCATGAGATTTAATAAAACAAATAACAGTCATGGGTAAATAGTTGGATTGTCAACATACATCTACTGTACTACCCAGTATACCAGCTACCATTAGAAGCCAAAAAAGAGGGGTTTACGTCATTTGCTATCTGAATGGCCATCGTGCAAGTTACAGTGTTTGACGATCACTCACTTATAACCCATAATTTTGCTTTCACTAAATCAATAACGTTTTACAACCCCCAGTTCTTCCGCCATGGGTTGCACAAGTTAAAGTCAATTTTATTGTATGACAGTGGTTTTACGCTTCGCGAAGTTATGATGGCCACCTAGGAGCCGTTTTTGATACACGTTTGGCTATCCCAGTGTGAGATATTGTTTTCTAAACTCAATTTTTCCAATTAGGACTTAGCTAAATAAATATACACTAAATGAGTCGTCTAAAGGTAGGCCCACATGGCATCTAGCTGGCTCCAGACAGACTCTTTTTGTAATTCTTGTTCACAATAAGTATGCAAACACTCATCATATTCTGAACGTTGATTACTGCTGTGCCTGACCAAAACAAAGTTGTTAATCTTCTACTTCCATCAATGATTTTAATTGGGCAGTCTGCGTGGTAGCGTTTAGGATTACATATTCTTGACACAAATAGATAAGACAAAACCCCTTAGTCTTAGTATTCTGTGAACAAATTGATGCAAAGGCTTTCATCGTTATTGGGACAAAAATAAAAGAACCCATTCTGTAACTCTTCAGTAACGAAAAAAAACATAATTCTGGCTCATTTACTTAAAACGAGTAAGGTTATTTGGGACCCAGAAGAATCAAATAAACAATGCTGACTGATTATTAGCCTGTGCAAGGTAGAGAAGCCCTCACCCCAACTATAGTATGCCATGTGCTTCTAGCTTTAAAACATGGTATTCCTCCTTAAAGAAGTCCCTGCCGCGGGAGCCATGCGGGTAAAATTGTTAATACTCACTGTTGCCCTGACAATTTAAGGAATTTTCGTAAAATCCATTAGAATCATGTAAAATGGAGGACGCAATATTCCTTCTTTGTGTCGAATAAAAAATGGATTAGTTTGTACTCACACTTATGGACCAAGAGACAAGTGGTCGTACCCGGCCAAACTCACTTCATGTTATTTGTTACACATAATATGATGATATATTGGTATCTGCAAGAACTATGTTGAGCAAATTTTCGTCTCTTTCCGTAAAGATCAAAGCTGCGCTCTGGAACAACACTGAACTGGTCGGACAAGAGACCATATACACACCATTGTGAGGCAATGTCAGGCGTGGCGCCAGGTCAAATAGGAAACTTATCATCAAACGGTGGAATACAGGCCTATTTAACAGGCAAAATATTGTGACAAGGAGACGCCCTGCTCCCGCACAGTAGGAGAACAATGCGTAGCTTATCTTACCTGAACAAGAATTCTAACAACTTGCGTAACATAATATTAATAGAAAGCTCCACAAGAATGGTGTTCAGTTGTAATTTTTAGGCGAGTGAATAGTCTTGTAGCCTGATATTTTCTGGCCTGAAAACCAGCTAAGCACTACCCCGGAGCAAAACAACTATGAGCATTCACCAGTGATGTTTTGTACAAAGAGAAGGACCTATGTTATACTAACTAGTGGAACTACGACTCCTTCTGTTGACCTTGTCTCATAACTCAGGGCTATCTTGAAGTAACAAAGGACAATAAGGTTTTTCTAGCGCATTTCCCGTACAACTACCCCAAAGGACAGAGATTGGCATTAGAATAGTTTGGCTTTTTCGTCTAAACTGCACAATTTCGGCAGGTAGTTTCGCCGAAATACGAAAGTGGGAAAGAAATAAAACAAAACAAGCGGACTGAAGGGGCGCAAGTCTTGCTGCATTAGATATGCTAATGAAGCCACCCTCAATATATCACGCTATTGGTACCCACAGCAAAGAACAGTCGTACATCCTAGTGACTAGGACCCAAGCATCCTATTTCAGATACTACGGTTGAGAAATTTCAAGATAGCTACTTATCTTTGTATTTATGACTGGTAGTGGTAGTTGCAAAAATGATCCGCTAGTGAGAGCGTTTCGGAAGTGCGGTACAACTGGTACTATCGTTTCCACTTCTGGTTAACTCGCGCTCTGCAATCATGCTCAACTTCTTCGTCAGCGTTTCTGTTCGTTCCAGGGATGCTCATCGTGTCTGCGGGGGTACTTCATAGAAATGTGCTCTTAATTGTGTACTAAGTATATAAGTCATTGCACCGAACAATTGATGACTAAGTATTTTATGAGGCTCGCCAATAGTGGCTGATCGGAAACTATGTTCCTATTGCGTTGATTGTACTCCTCATTTGGGTTTCGTGTTAGATCAAATTGATCAAATTTTTAGATTAAATGGTTCAGAAAATTATGTAGAGTGACCCACAAACATGAGCACTTGATTGGTCCCTTAGGGTCGTGTGTCCATTGGATGGAATAGCCTGCGATGTACTCCTTAAAGAGGCTTAGATAAACGGCGTCATTGGATTAGCTTGCATCTACAATGCTTTGACGTGTGATAAGATTCGGGACCAAAACAGCAACAAATGCTTGGACAAGCGTCCATCGCACGGCGGTTTGCAGTGGTTGTGGCAATCCGCTACAGAGCATCTGGTTACGTTCAAACGGTTGCGCTTGTAACCCAGTAAAATAACTGTGTGCGTGCCTGAACCAATTAAAAGAATAGTTTACGCTACATCATTTTTGTCACGCAGGCGGTACAAATTCATAATTTGGTGGTGTATTGCACTGATCACCTATTGGCTTTGAAAACGCATCCGAATGGCCTGCGGAGCGTTCTTTCGAAACGTTCAGCAAATTAATTGTAGTGAATATGCAGTTTTAAAGTATACGGAAGCTGGACATTTGGAATGGTGAACAAACTGGCACTGGTGTCCTCACGTCTAGGTTTCCGGGTTTTCCCCTCCGAACACATGAAATTCAGTTTGGACTAGATGAAAGGATTATTTGAAAGGACAATTTGAAATTACCGATCTGCCCGTCTGTTCATCAATTAAATACAGCGCCAGAGCTTTCGCCAAACTTATGTTCTCTTTAGGAACAAACTGTATGAAATGCATGAAACGATTCGGTCGCAAGTGAATCTTTCGCTAATGAGCCACTTCGCTGATCAGCAGATGGATATCACAACCAATATATGTTAAGCTTGTAATCGGATGAGTATTCTATTAACTCCAAGTTAGTGTGCAAAAGAATGCATTTTGTCATGTGCTTCGAAACATTTGTGAGATCTGAATAATCATTTGCTTGATGGAACCATTCTCCTAAATAGTCGTCATTACTCGCAATTCATCGGTCAAATCTCAAAAGAAGGATTAGGATTTATCCGACTGTTTCAGACATTGTGGTAGTTGAACTTGGGGACGTTCAGCCCCATTGAGGCTACAGTCCCCGTGAGACCACGGAATGTACGCGCAGAGAAGAGACTAGTGAATTGTATCGGCAATTTTGACTAGGTGCCCGTGGGCGCCTCAAAATCTCACAGAAAATCTGCGAATCAGTAAAATATTGTTCTAGTGTGATCCGTATTTCTGGCACAGATTTTGAGATACTAGCTTGCTCCACAAATCACTGCTTCTTCCCATGTACAAATCCCGCTACCATTGGTAGGTATTAGATGTCTATCTATCCCGCAATGATTTAAGGAAACTGAACCAGTATAAAAATTAGCGAAACCAAAAGCGCTGTTTTTCGATGCATATGTGAGGGTCCTTAAACAATATACCAAACAATGCCCCAATTACTTATATTTCGACTAGGCGAATTCGACTTCAGCTTGCCATTTTTGTCCCTCGTTGAAGCGATTGCACGATTACCCACTACTACAGCTCCTGCTAATTACTAGAGAAATGAACTCTGCTATCTCAATTCAAGTTTGTGACAGTCTTGGAAATGTGTAAAGATGTTGCGTCCTTTCATTTCGCCGCTTCAGCTGCGGACTGAGTGTGAACATACCACTACA